CCTTTCCTTTCCTTTCCTTTCCTTTCCTTTCCTTTCCTTCCCTCCTTCCTTTCTCTCCTTCCTTCCTTTCTCTCCTTCCTTCCTTCCTTCCTTCCTTCCTTCCTTCCTTCCTTCCAGATGCCTTGAGGCTTGCCGCCCCTAGGTTTCTCCAGGGTTCTCCTCTCCATCCACCCTCCCCCCCTACCCTTCCCAGCACGTCGTGCTTAACTTCTTGAGCCCTGGGAGCCGGTTCAGTAACTCTGAATTCATTTTTAAGTAGCATGCCTTGTCCCCCCCCCCCCCTTTTAACAAGAGGTACACTTTAACACGCGAACCAGTAACCCGATCCACGCGTTTACAAATCGGCAGTGAATTAAAACAACAACAACAACAAAAAGCTTCAAGGAAAAGGAAAGGTGGGCTGGGGAAGGGGGGGATGTGTGCAGGGTGCGTGTGTGTGTGTGTGTGTGTGTGTGGGGGGCGGGGGGGGGACAGAATGGGAGGTCAGAGAAAGAGAAGGTCTCCCCTCCCCTGGAGCGCTCTCCGCGCACCGGGCTGCACGCCGAGCTTGTTTGTAAAGTCCTCAAAGCCAGCAGGTAGAAGTGGCAGTTTTATTGCTTTATCCCCTGCAGCTTGCTGTTAACACGGTGAAGGCGGTTCCCCCCCCGTGCACGTCTATGTTTCTGTCTTCATTTTTGCAGGTGCACTGCTCTTTCCTCGCCGGCTTCCCCGACTCTGGCCGTGCCACCAGCAGGGCTGGTCCTCACCGGCCAGCCGGGAAGGTTCCCGCACCCAGTACCAGATCCAGAGCAGCAATCTATTCCCCCTGCTCCCCCAGTTTGCGTCATGCCCGAGGAAGCCCTGAGGACTGGAACTGACCAGGCTGTAGCTGCAGGACAGCCATCCCGCCCCCCTTAGATGGAGAATAAAATGCCAGTATTATGTCGGTAGCAGTTGTGTGTAGCCTACGGTAAAGGTCCTGCTGAGACCTGCTGAGCGACCCAGTCAGTCAGGGACTGGGAGTGGGGGAGCGAGGGGTCCCTCGCAGCTTGATAGAGGTCTCTGTGTGCTTGCTGGATAGAATCCAAATCGCAGGCTCGCTCATCCCACTTTCCCGGTGAGTCCCGCGAACAGCCAGCCGGAGAGCAAGTCTGGCCCCACACAGTGTGCCAGGGTGGTGGCTGTGTCTGCCACGTGTGGCCTCTGCCATCAGCTTGGGGGAAGGGGTTCTGCCGGCAGTGGCTGGCTGCGGCAGGGGCCTCTCCCCACGGTCATTTCTCTCCAATGGATCCCGGCATCTCAGCTTCGCAGTCCTTCGCCCAGTGTCATGGGGCGGTGATGAGCCCGGGCAAAGCGGTTGGAATCACCCTGGTTCGGTCTAGTCCAGCCCGCAGCTCCAGCCCTTTCTGCGAGAGGCAGGAACTCTGGGATTCTTCAGGGCCTCGGGGCGAAAGCCACACTCCGGGGCTCCTAGCCCCTGCAGGTCTGGCCGCTACCTGGCGGCTCCTACCGCTTGGTCTTGCCGGCTGGGGAACCCCCGGCCAACCCTGCGGGCTGGGAGGAAAAGGGCAGGCGAGGCGTCTAAGTCTTTATTATTCAAAATAGAAGCTATTGGGAGGACTCAGAGGTCTAAGGCTCTGTTAGGGCTTACAATAGGTGAGAGTCATATTCAGGAGGAAGTTTTAAGAAGCAGGATTTGAAGCCCAAAGTGCTTTTTGCTTTTTAAGGTGTTGAGTCTTGTATTCCGGCTGTCAATGTTATTTAGAGAGAAATCCTCACGGATTGCCACCACTAGACTTCCTGTCAGTGCGCCCTGTGGAGCAATGGGTTCTCTGGGTGGGAAAAGCCCCTGCTGTTCTAGCTCTGGCTGGGTGTCTGCAGCACACATGTGGGTCAAGGAATCGGTTGGGTGCTGGGTGAGGGTTTGCAGCCTCCCTGGGCTGTAGAAGCACGTTCAAGCCGGGCAGGGCCTGGCTGGGTTTGGTTGCTAAGTTGGGCTCAATTATCACGTTAATTCTAAAGAAATTAGACCTGGATAAATAGCCTTTGAATTCAAAGAAATAACTCGGTATTGATTTACATAGCCATGCTTAAAAGAAAAGAAGAGAAAAGAAACCCTTCTCAACAGGAGACATTGGTGGAAAAAAAATCTTGCTAGTATTTTCTCCATTCAGTGTAAAATTCTGTTTATGTACATGTGTAGGGAAAAGGTGCTTGATATCTGGGAAACCTACACTCCCTTTTTCCCTCCCTCAACACATACACCTGGGAAAGCTTGAGGGGGGGGTGGGCGGCTGGCATGAGCTGCTTCTTCGCCTTTCTTAGCTCAGGCTAGTAAGGGTATCACTGGAGTAGCCAAAAGTATCTATGCAAGAAAGCACCGAGATTAGAGCATTATTTCCTCTAGTGACAAAACTATAATGCCAGTGTTAAGACACTCCCCTCCCAGGCCCTCGAAATCCAGCTAAAAAGTGGACTCAGATAGAGGCTCACTGAGGTGTGGGGACAATATCTCCCTCCTCTCTCCAGTCCCGTGTCCCAGAACAGGAAACCCCAACATGTATGGCCTGGCCCACAGGACCAATGACAGCCACCGTGGGTTTCGCAGACTTTTTCTAGACTCTCCAATTTGGAGAATATTAACTAAGCACCGTCCAACCTAGAGGCTCCTGTCTGGGTCTTTTCAAACCTGGAGCCCAGGAGTCCAGAGAAGTTATTAAAAAAAAGAAGCCAACCAGATCCTCAAATCCAACACCATTTGACCTCATTCCCAGGCTGTGTGAAGACCCAGAGCTTTCTTAATGGAGGAAACCAATATGCTGGGCCTAGAATGGATTGGGGATGGGGGGGGGGTGGATAATACATTTCTGCCTCCCCCAGTTTGGGGATTATATACAGAAGTGTTTTTTAATTTCTCTTTCTTTTATCAAGCATAGGCCCCTCTCCCTAATACACAAATATCTTCTCTCTCCCAGTTCAGGTGGGAAAACTCAACAATATTTAAACAGTTAGATTAAAACAAGATAAATTGTGATGTTTGTGTGTTTAATCTGTTGGGTAAACCAAGGCTGAGCCCCCCCCCCCCATATTTGCCCTGCTGGGAACTGTAGCAGGATAAAGGGGGAAGGGAAGGGAAGGGTGTTAGAAGTCAGCTTTAATCAAGCCAGTCTTTGGGAACCGGGACCCCTGACCATTGCAGGATAAACGCAGCCCTAGAGTGGCAGGGAACAAGCATCAACAGGAAACAGCAGACTATTTTTAGGCATAATAAGGAGCTAACATAGCTGGCCAAGCCTCTTCCTATATGCCTCCGAGCACTCTCTCCTTTAATTCCTCCATCCCTTCATCAGCAGAAACAATAATAGAGTCACAGCACACGTCTCAATGTTAAGGAGAGCCAGGTTTGGGACAGCTCCTCAGAAAAACCTGGGATGGAAAACATCTTCTTGTTATCATGTGAGCTCTTAGGGGGTTCTCTTGTTACAACAGAAAAAGAAATGAAAACCGTTTTTCATTAGCGAGAGACTCGTTCTGTACCTGACTACCCTTGTGATGTAAATGTTCTGGTGATATTCATATTCATACCTGTTCACCTGCACTTTTTCTCTCCTTTATTTTGTAACATCGCAATGTACATGATAAGGTAATTTATTAGACTTTTAGCAAAACTTTCCTTAGTGGGCAACCAATTTGAGAGCCCTTAGGAAAAAAGTGAGGGTTAAAAAACACACACACACACACACACACAAGCAACCACACATTCTCCCAATGGTGCCCTTTCTCTTTTCTTTTGTTCAGAACAGAATCCCTTTTGCACAAATCTAAGAGAAAGAAAACCCCACCCCCCCATCCTACCCAGGGGAAGGAAATAGTGTTTTTCTGTAGGTTTCACTAATTTTGTGCAGAGCACAAATGCTCCCCCTCAATCGAGTGAGGATCCTTTCCCTACAAAGCTCAACATTCTCCCAATGGTGCCCCTTCTCTTTTCTTTTGTTCAGAACAGAATCCCTTTTGCACAAATCTAAGAGAAAGAAAACCCCACCCCCCCATCCTACCCAGGGGAAGGAAATAGTGTTTTTCTGTAGGTTTCACTAATTTTGTGCAGAGCACAAATGCTCCCCCTCAATCGAGTGAGGATCCTTTCCCTACAAAGCTCAAAGCCTTTGCTTCTTTAAACACACACTGAGGGTTGTGTCTACTTGGACACATATTTGGGTTCATAATTAGGTTCCTGGTCTTTCTTC